TGTAGTACACACCCATCACTTTTATCACTTATAACTACTGCACTAAGTTAAGCTTAATGATGTTATTATACGAGTTTTCCCTTCTCATACAAATATTTATGAAGTTTAGAGGGGTTGGTATTTTATTAAATGAGTACGCATTTGGTAGTTTAAAATAAATGTTTTATAATTGTTTTTAGATTGAAGCTTATTATTTATTTCAAAATAGCTCTAAAACTACTTACATCTCCAACCACCCACGCCCGCATGATTTGAACACAATTGGACATATCCTGACCGCCAGACTAATGCACTTTAAAACCATCTTTTATTTTTCACTACTCCCTTTAAAATGGCTCTTAATTCAGTTGCATAGAGATCGTTTTGGATATATCTCTTACGAGCGAAGAATAAGGGACATTTATTAATTAAATCATTTCGAGTTCGGGTTTTCGGTTGGTTTTGTGGAATCGAGATGCTTTTAGTACGGTGTAAAATATTTTGCAGGAATTGCTGTTTTTGGCAGAACGATTGGTATTTGATTTCATTCACTAATTGTAGTTGAAAGTAATTGTTATGACGATGTAAGTACTTCTTTGTAAGCTTTATTATTAATTTTGGCTTTGATATTACATGTTTTCAAATTGTGCACCTTCTTCAGACCTCAATTTATTTAAATTACAGAAAATAAGAGTCTATCTTAAATTAAAAATTGAAATGCGCTTTTTTTTTTGAAAATTTTAAACTAAAATTATGGTTTTTTGGTGCCGCTTAAGTAGATAAGTAAATTATAATCTAAAGGGACTCGAACCCGCACCCTTTGCTATCCGGGCGAATGCACTGACCATTATGGTACCGCGGCCTTGACGGCCGTGTCCAATTTTTCCTAGCCTTAGTCTGCAAGGCAGCGCCATCTCTTCGCATTGTAGGTAACCCACAATGTATGTTTTTCTAGTAAAGCTTTTCTTTAGATTTAAACATGTAGCAGTTAAATGCTTAAAAAATAAAAACATAACTATAAGTACATTAGAAATAAAAAAATCAAGTTAATTCTTTCCTCTTTTATTTGACAATGGTAATAATCTAGATAGGGCCATCTGAGAATGCCCGCAATCAGAAAAGCAATAAATCCGATGCTGTAACTTTCCTTGCGTTAGCAATAGAAATGGACAACACCCCATTTTGAAAGCTCTAAAATTAATTCACCTCTCTGAGTGGTGACAAGACTCACTTGTTTGATGTTCGTAACGCCTGCCATCTTTTTTTTCAATAGACAGGTCCGACAAATGACTTTACCTCATCCGATATTAAGTGACGGTAAAGTTCAGACGCGAAGATAGCTGATACAACAGTTCTACCTGCCACACTAGCCATCCTCACCCTGCCGGCCTGCATGTTGCTTCTTCACGCCCCTTTTAAAGGATCCCAGGTTGTAAGAGTGAGGGAATACATGAGCAGGCAGAGTATTCCATTTACGGATAGTGCGACAAACAAATGAGTCTCCGAACTTCTTTGTACGCGTGGGAATAGTGGCCACAGTTAGTTGGTCCACATCTTGGTTTTGTTGACATACAATATGATAGATATTTGAAATATAGAAATTGAAGTCAGAAAAGGCGCTTAAGAGTTAATTAACCTCATTCAAAATCAGCGGTAATGATGGATGTGCGATGAAGAATAGCGATGAGCAATAATATATGCGATAAGTTGTCTACTTACATTGAAATCTGTCTGACATGTCATTAAACGATAAGCAAGCATAGGTCACTCAACTTTGCAGATACATTCAAAATTAAAAAGTGCATTATGAATCATTTTTATCGGTGGACTTATACCAGCCTCCCTTGCATGAACACCGTGATATTTATTTATTTATTTATAATGGCACAATAACAGGCATCAGACAAAAAAACAATACAAGTACAAAAATAAATGAAAAACTATGGGCATGCCTGTGCCCAATTACAATTGTGCACAACATTTACATACATAAATAGACATCGAACAAAAAATTAAAATATCTTAATATTATATCATTATGACAGAGCTAAATATTATTGTAATTCACAAACACCTCAATCAATATAGGCTTTGCAGAGAGGGGAATAACTTTAGTTTTATAAGTTTTAGTGTTCAGCACAAATTTTTAACCAAGAATTCTTGAAAGAAAGTAAGTACAGTTAAACATGTCATGATCAGAGCAAATATTGTTAAAGTTTGAACACGTTCTGTTCAATGGGCTGTACAGCGAAATATTATTTGTGGTGGAGGGTACACAAAATAATTGTGATGTACGCACAGCCGCAAAGACCGTGTAGGCACATTAAATTTCAGAGCTTCAATCAGGCAACTACCGGATGATCCATTGGCAATCCGATAAAGAGCACTGAGATCTCTAATATATCTACCTCTCTCCTCTAATATATGATATATAGCTCGAATTTATCACGCTCAATTGTCAAATTACTATCGAGTTTGACAGTTAGACGCGATATAAAACGTGATATAATGTATATTTTGGTCCTTATGCTACAGGGACAGGACTTAATACTTTTCACCCGTGATTGGATAAAGTAAAACTTTTCTTTTTCCTCGCAGCTCCAATATAATCATCATTATCAACTTAATAATGTCCCCACTGCTGGGACACAGGCCTTCTGTATGAATGGAATAGGGAGATTGGGCTATGACCCACCACGCGGGCCCAATGCGGATATGTGAGTGCTAACGACTGCGGATGCAGGCGGGACCAACGACTTAACGTCTCTTCCGAAACATGGAGAAGCTAGAAATATTAAATTTTTGGTCACGATCATTTTTGGGAACCGATGGCGTAGCTTCTCGACTTTCACGAGTGTATGTAACAGCCTAGATTGTATTAATGATTTTTATTTGATGACCTCCGTGGTCGAGAGGTTTGTACGCCGGGTTTCATGTGTCGCTGACTCTAGAGGACCCGGGTTCAAATCCCAGTGGGGGCAAATATTTGTGTGCTGAATACGAGAATTTGTACTCCAGTCATGGATGTAAAATATTTATTTCTATATAAATATACTTATTTATGTACAGTATATGTATTCTATCCGTTACCCTAGCATCCCATAACACAAGCCTTACAGTGCTTACTTTGGGGCTAGGCTAATTTGGTGTGAGTGTTGGAAATATTTATTATTATTTTGATTTTGTATTTACGTACGGGCTTATGGTATTGAAGATTAGTAAATAAATAAGACGAATGGAATCCTTATAGGATCACTATCAAAAGGCCGGCTGCTACCTTGGTCAACGGATCAGCTTTGCTATCCAACGAGCACCATTCCTAACGACGGCACAGGGGGTGATATATCTTTTATTTTGTAAATTTGTATTTATTTAAGTAGGTAAGTTTTAAAATAATTAGATTTTTAGGTTTTTAGACATTAAATAGTATTAAGCTTTTATAATTTATAATATCTTGTATGTAAATAACCAGATAAATAATAACACCAATTCAAGGCACAGAATTGAGTGAATAAAAAAAAATAAGACCAATTGTTTAAAACTCCTGCGTTCTGAACTTGAAATCCTGTTATAATCGCATTCCAATATATTGTTTTCCTTGATTTGAATAACAATAAATATCCGTTCAAGGGGCCGATCGATCATTTCGTACAAAAATCGATAAAAATCTCGGCAACAATAACACTGATACGATTACTTGAACTATAGTTATTACATGATCGTGATGGTGGAACCTTGACCAATGCATCGAGGTTGTGGGACCTTTTAAACAATAATACTTTTACAGAACAAAAGAATGGTACCTAAATTGTACTGATTTTGTGTTGCGCCAAATATTATACGACCTCTGAGGCGCAACCGAAAGATCTGGTGTCCATCCATCAACTATTTCTGTCAAATTGAGGCCATTAGATGCACTGACGATATGTTGTGCTACTGTCCGCCTAGCACCCTATAGCTCGATTTTTAGGGTTCCGCAACTCAATCGACAGAAACGGAACCCTTATAGGATCACTCGCTTGTCCGTCTGTCACAGTCAATTTGCTCGGATTATACTGCACCGAGCAAGTTGAAATTTGGTAGATACATTTCTATGTCTGAGACCCAAATACGGATGAATAAAGTAAATAAATAAATTACTATCGGCTCTTATATTACTTTAAGAATTTTACTGTATAATGGTACGAATCCCTTCCTGGCGAATCCAAGTCGCACTTGGTTAGTTTATTTAGTTAATATTACAGCGTCACCGGTCTTGGGGCAGCGAGATCCTTAAAGAACCTTAAACCGGGAAAAGGAAAGTAGCTCCAGTGGTTTCCTAAGCGGAGAACAGATGCCCTCGAGGAAATCCTCGTGAAGAGTGTTTCCGCACAGAGTATCGGCACAACTAGAGGAAAACTTTGAGACAAGGACCTCTTTCAAAACAAGCTTCTATTTAAATGTTAATTGAAGGCACACTATACATTATTTTATTCATTTAAATCATGGAACTATACAAAGATACTAGTCCGCCATATTGGATTTAGAATGACGGTACTTAGCTGCATTGTCATTCAAACTGAACGTGTACCTATGCAAAATTTCATCTCAATCGGCTGAGCATAACTGATTTGACCAGCAAGTAACACCTTAACACCTTGCAAGTATAATAAACCTTTCAAAAACACACGGTCGCCTGATGGTAAGCGATTACTTTAACTTCTGTGATACCAAGAGTATATAGTGCACGCGCGTTGTAAGTTTATTATCAGTCCGCATCAGTCCACTGCTGGACATATGCCTCTACCATAACACGCCATTGAGTTCGGTCTTCAGCTCTCCTCATCCAGTGAAAAGCAGCGGGTAATAGCTTTTCAGCTGTCCTCGCTCAATCTAGTTGCGGGACTCCCTAAACTAAACTCCAGGGCTTGTCTGCCCCAACCCATCCGTTCTATGGCATATTTGACCAGTCCACCGCCTACTTGTGGGGCTATGTCAGTTTTATGGAAAATTACTTTTAAAAAGGACGACAATATACTCACGTTAGTAGCCGGCCGGCCTCAGGGTTGCGGTAGAAGTCGCACTTGTGCAGCGGTCGGGATGGGTCACCGGGGATATACTGGCCTGTCTTCTCGCATAGCGCGCGGTATATCTGGAACTGTAGGATCGTGCTCACGAAGTATCTGGAAAGAGGAAATAAAAAAATTAAAATATGATCTTGCATCTTTTTAAATAAGTTTTTAATTTAAAAATATATTTTTCAATAAAGCCAATGATATTATATAGAAACAGATATGTTATAAGCGCGCACGCTGTGAAGACTTGAGAACAGGCGAATTGGTGGGTACTCTACGACTATTAAATGTTTATCTATGCACAAGAAAACATTTGAAGTTGGAACACGGTTGGAACAGATTTTGAAGCAGACATGATATGTATAGAAATGATATATAATAGAAAGAAGCTTTTATTTAGCTGATAATTGAACACTGACGTTATTTTATTAATATAATTTTCAACAAAACTTTCAATATGGTAAATGATGTCCCATATGCTGTATGTAAAGAACAAATACTGAAAACGTTTATTCATTATGTACTTTGTAACTAAGCGAATCTACCTCGGAAACAAATTATTTCATAACTCAGTGATATTAGGTATCTTCAATAACAGGAAAATATAGTAAGAGGAAATGTTGCCTCCGTTTAAAAAACAATGACTTTACTCATGCTTTACTTGACTCATGGTAAATTTTATTCAAATGTATTTCATTATTATACAAACATTTATAGCTAATATTATTTTCTCTAATAAGCTTTCTTCCTCGGTATAAACTTTTTTTTTAATTTGCAAAATCCACATGCACTGCTCAATTGCTCATGGCAAAGGATATGCTGGTATGAACGTTTCTCCTACAGTAATTAATAAAATGTGTACAAAGGTTACTTAACCACGCATTTGTCAGTAAAAGAATGAATTATACTCCCAAATAATTTTGCTCCCAAAACACAAGAAAACAGTCGTTAATCTGAATTAAAACAAGTCAGACGACACAAATTTTAACATAAACAAATGAAGCTTTTAATCTTTTGATCAACGTGTGACAAACAACTTTATGCAACACGTAAGTATCTGATATATTTACACGGTTTTCTCTGCGACAGCGCGGTAAGTTAAGCTGGTTTTAACACAATTTTCCACTCAGCCAAGTGAAATATGGCGTCAAATGAGTTCGCAACAATTTGCTGGAAAATAATCGCTGTAGACATTTTGTGGGAAGCGGTAGACGGTAAAATCCTACTAATTAAGAAAGTCTATGAATATTCTTGACAACATTGTTGTTTACGTCATTTATTTTGTGTATTTGGAATTTGTAATTCATATGTATGGAAATAGATGGCGTTGTAGTTCTTTGCATAGCGCTAATTTTGTTTTGAGATTATAAATAAATATTTCCAACATTCACACTAATTAGCTTAGCCCCAAAGTCAGCACTGTAAGGCTTGTGTTATGGGATGCTAAGGTAACGGATAGAATACATATACAGTACATATATTATAAGTATATTTCTATAGAAATACATATTAAACATCCATGACTGGAGTACAAATGCTCGTATTCATCACACAAACACCTGCCCCCACCGGGATTCGAAACCGGGATCTCTCTAGTCGGCGACACCATGAAACCCGGCGTACAAACCACTCGGCCACGGAGATCGCCATACATATAGGCAAAACGTCACCAAACTAATAAAGAAATCTATGGTGAAACAAATTCCACCTAGGTTTCATTTCTATTGTTTTGCACCTAAGCTCTCGGATTTAAGAGTCATTTTGGCTTGAACAATTGTGATTAAGAGAGGTAGGGAATAGTTGATTTTCCGCTTGAATTGGAGCACTCGTTTGGGGAAGTAACCTATACCTTACAGAAGACCACAGTAAAGTAACTCTACGTTTTGGTGATATTGTGTTTCTGTCGCATGTCGATGAGTAAGGTTCCAGGGCTCTATGGCCTGGGTTTCGAACCTAGAGGTAATTACCCCCCCCCCCCCGGGGGTAAATCACCTATACTTCGGGGGTAACAAAGAACTGAATTATTTGGTCAAATCTAAATAATAAAAAAATACACTACACCTGACAGTAAGAGAGTTCCCACTCTCAGCACCCCGCGGTCTCGCTAGGCTAGGCGGGGCGAGATTTTCTCCTGATAATGATTAGCTTGTATTGTTTGTTTTGATAATATTTTTAAGTCGGGGTAAAATCTGGTTTCCTAGTAGGTTACAGGGGTAGCAGTATTGAAAAGGTTAGGAAACACTGCTCAATGGGGAGTTATATTTTTTGTATTGCAAGCATCTATACGCTTTGGTGGCCGTTTACCATCAAGCTGGCCCAAAGCTTGTTTGCCATTTAAACATAAAAAGGGTTTAGCTGCTAATTTTTCGCTTTAAATTTTAGAATTCCAAATACTTTAAAAAACTTTAATGAGCATACAAATTCCAAACAGTTTAATCTAGATTAACATATGTACTTTTGTTTAAACTACACCCTAATAAAAAACCATCCTCGGTTATGGAAAAACGAAATAAAACACTCATCCAAATTTTGCTTAAAGTAAATAATTTACGAATTCGTAAAAGACTTTAGTTTTGATTAGATACAATCATAAGCTATTTCAAAACACCTCATGCCCATATGTCCGTATACATGTAAACATCATAATTAATAAACTTGTTTTAGATAGTTTGCATCAATTCGGTTGTAAAACACAAATGGTAATTATTGCCCTACAATCGATCAACAGACACAATTACCTAACTAATAATAATGTGTAAATTGTAAATTATTAGGTACTTAAGCCACTCTCTGTTCAACGCCATGAGCAAGATACAAGCTTGCAGCGGAATAGTTTATTATTATTATTTACAGTTCATATATATTTGGAACAACATAATATTATACATATAAGATCTGCGAATTCTATTTTTTTATTAACAATATTATTATGTTTTAAAAATTAAGAGACCTTTCACCCTAGCGTATTCCTATTTCGAGCGTCGACGACGACGCTAGCGTTGGCTTGCTGTCATTGCTGCCAAACCCTTGTAGGCCTTGGCTTATGTATCGCTGGCGTTGCGTCGTAGAGCCGTCAGTTTTTTTTTTGCGAATAAGTATAATGCAAGCTGGCCAGTGATAGCGTCGTGTCGCTGCAGTGTCGGCGTCGCGTCGACGTTGCGCGGACGCTAGCACAACGACGTTGCTCGAAAGACGTTAGCTCTTATACATTAAATGTACATTTATTGAAATAATACTAGGAAAGACACATTTATTCTCATATATCGTAACGAAAACCCGTAAGAGTTCCCTTAAATCAGGAACTAGCTTTTGCAATTTAAAGATCAAGCAAGGTTCTAGGGTGCGGAGTGAAGGATGGATGATGATTAAAATACTGATACTGATATAAAACAATAACAGTACATTCATTTTATATAAAAAAAATGAGATTTACTTACAAAAATTACATAAAAAGATTTTATAAAAAAAGCCAATGGTCGCTGTTTCAGCATAGGCTACCACGACATATAACAAAACTCCCACTTAAAAAGAATACAGTTGCGGTAGGCTAATGTGAATGGGATCGCGCAATAAGAAAAGGTTGCCTTCACAATTAGCAGTTACATGTTTGTATATATATTTCTTTTTCATATTACATTTCAACACAAATTATAAGCCATGGGGACGGCGTTTGTATTACGATGAACTATGATAAAAGATATTTTCTTCAATACAAAGCGTCTTTTCATTTCAAATTTTACTTACATCAGTAAAAAGAACCGCTACCGCTTATAGTTTAGACGAGAGTTCGTCAAAGCATTCTATGTTCGGTCTCACGCTGCTAAAATTGATTTGTGGTGATGACAGTGCAAATGCGGGTATACGGGAAACGGACAGTTTTATGTTTTCCGTTTGAATTTCAAGAAAATGTAGATACCTAATCATGAGATTGCTATTGTTTAAAATCTAGCGTAAAAGTCATCTATTAATCAGGCGATGTTTTATTTAGTATATGTTTAATGACCCTTCCTCACTGATTATACAGGTGGTGAAATTTTACACACCAATAAATTCTAGATTCATTCAATTCAAAAATTTCGCATTAGGTAAGGTCAACTTAACACCAAGAAAATATATTGGTGTTAAGTGCAAGTAGAGTCAAGTAGCAAAATAAGCGATTTTTGCGCTTAAAAAACCGGACCCGCAGGCATATTTCGGCGTGTTCACTTGAACCGGCAGTGCTCGCGCTTTTACGAGCTTACAAGCGCGTCAACGCACATAGGAGTTTCGCGCGTATAAAACGCTAGTCTGAAACCTCTCTTACGAGAAAATTAAAGATTTCTTCATTACCATCGACATCATCTCGAGAATGTTTCTCAATTGGTCCGAGACAGGAATGTGGGCCGAGAGCAGGTGCTGTGGTGCGAACCTGTCAGACGTTATGTCATACGAGTAAAGAAGGCAAAGAGGCACAATCTCATACAATTGCGCGTGTATGAGTGAGCTCTGACGGCCTATCGCGCACGCAGAGAAACGATTCTATTGGCGACGACAGACCAGTGCTTACACACAAACGCGTACTTCAAGAAGCAATGAAAAGATGGCAACTTTACTCATGTAGTTATATAAAGCATTGCATCTCGTTGCATCACCGCGCGTCACATCACGTTGCATCTCAGGTGTAAATGACGCATTAGTGTGATAATCCGTCGAGATGATTCGGATAGCGAGCTGGATGCCAAACGCGCTTTCGTATTTGGCGGAGACATGCGAGTTGCCTTCTAAAGAGGGTCAGTAATGGTTAAGTGAGTTAGTTTTTGCGATTGGTGTAGTTTAACATTTATAAGATACGAGTGTAATAGGAGCTAGAATAAGACAATAACCCCCTGATTCTTATATAATATTTTAGGTGGACATTGGTATCGATGCCAGCATGATGGTGGTTTAGAAATAAACCTAAAATTAAATTTGACAACAGTGTATCCTTGTCATTATCTATACATAATAAAAAGGAGAGACTGATGTTGAATTTAGTTTTAGATTAAGAGAATCATGCCAGAATCGACACCAGTGACTGACGACACCTCACTTATTAGAAAGAATTAGCGTATTATTACATAATTAAAGTC